AGTCAGATCCGTTCGAGCCACAGACTACAGCCGCACTTGAAAATTGGACCGTTGGCCTTCCCGCGGCACGACTGATCGAAAGAACAGTGTCAATAATAATAATAATAATAATAATAATAACAATAATAATAATAATAACATTAATCGCTGAAAAGGAAAGGGTGGCGTCCCAGAATTTCTCCGCGCAGCACCCTTCCCTAAACAGCGATCCACGTTCACGCACAAATCTAGCACCCGACTTTCAATCTTTCCCATTCCTTTTCTCTCTTCTACTATTTTTTCTTCTTTTTCCTTTTGGTCCTTACTGTATCTGCCTCTTAACCTGGTCATCGGGGTCCGCGCGGTTCGGACAAGCAGTCCTGGTACAAGTGATATACAAGGGACCAGTAAGCCCAGGCCATAAGACCGCAGTTACGGTCCGAAACCCGAATCAGCGCCCCCTTTCCCTACGAAGTGATAGGCCGACAGGCAGAAAACCGAAAATAGGGAATTTTAGTGGTAATAACAATAATAATAATAATGATGACGGCAGTTCAAAACCGGAAAGGGAACCACAGCATCACAGCGGTCTGAGGCCACCAGATTTCCCCATACAAAAGAAAACGAGTTTTGATTTGACATCTTATTCTTCTTTTTCCGACAGCGATTGCACCTAACCCATAACTTGGCAGAAGGTCACTCGGCGCACAGTAGAAAAGATTGCGCCAGCCTTCTCACCTCCGCGTCCCAGGGCGAACTTGACGGCTACCACGGCAACAGGCCGATTGTGCTCTGCTGTACAGCAAGGCGCCGAGCCTGCGTGGACCAATGGAAAGCCCTGTGGCGCACCCTTTTGCTGAGGGCTACACCACCGGGACTGGTCCGCGCCGAGGATGAGCCTAGGGATCAGTCTGTCGTGGCAAGGGACTGGCACTGAGCGAGGAACTGGTACACAATGGAGGGCCGGGACACCGTGCCCTCCGACAGCGCGCGCGGGGGGCAGCGGGCCGCAGCGGCGGGCGGCACGTCGAAACGTCCGCTTTGAAATTGCTCAGGACCGTGTGAAACCCGCCACCCAAAAACCTGCAGTGTCTTGTATCCGAACCTCTAGGCCCTGTCCGGTGGGGTGAAACGACACTGAAAAATCACCCCATTATTTTTCAAGGGGCGGCCAGGAACCGAAAAATGTCCTGGGCCGCCCCTTTATTTTTTTCGGTTTTTGCCGTGGGGGCCTCCATCCGACACAACGACCGGACACCGGACATAAGGACCGGACACCAGACATGTTGTTCCGGACTGTCTGTAACCCGGTGCAGACGTCCGATTGAAACGGTATTCACCAGTTCGCAGTAGCCGATGCAGATCCCAGGTCTAGATCCCTAGTCCTCACCTTACCTATGTAGAGTATCTATGTCGACCCCTAGAGTTGAACCCGTGACCTGTGTATTGTAACAGCTGGTAGACTGTCGTAGGGTTTGTAGGTAGTAGGGGTTCGATCCGTAGACCTGTCGGGTAGGAGTCCTAGCAGGGTCTAGAAGTCGTACCTGTAGTTCTCCCGTAAGGTCAAGGTCGTAGCTGCTACAGTCCAGAAAGGTCAAGGTCGTAGCTGCTACAGTATCCAAAGGCCAAGTCTACGGCCTTCCGGAAGGTCCGAGTAGTGGCCTTTCGAAGTTGCCCATGTTTAGGCTGAGGCAAGTGGGCAAGTGGTAGAGTCTACCCATGCTGAGTCAACAGTCCCAGTACCAGTCAGTCCTAGTCCAGTCAAGCAAGTACCGCATGGACTGTGTGCACTACGGGCATGGGAAAGGGCCAGACCAACGAGTTGCAGAAGTATAAATCAAAGGGCAGCGCCCAGCCATTCATTCATTCCTGCGTGAGCCATGCGGTAGCGCTGCCATAGCGACTTGTGTGAGGTGGTCTGCAGGAAGCCCGAGGACGAAGTGGGCGAGAGAGAAGAAGCTTAGCCATAGTGATAGGGTAGTAGCGGCCATAGCCGCCATAGCTGTAGATAGCGTGCAGCGTGAGTGTGTGTGTGTATACAAAGAATCGCGTGTGGGATATCCAGGGTGATCGGGTGTGTGCGAACAGAGAGTTGTGTGGGCGCTGAGTCGCCATAGCCATCGAAGAGAACCTGTACCCGAATTGCGTTCTTGGCTACCATATCTCTGAGTTTTGAGCGGGCGCTTGTCGCCAGTTTGCTGCGCACCTGTTTGCATGCATGTGAAGTGTGGATGGGAGCGAGTCTGATTGCATTGGTATCGGAGCTGGTGCCCACTATTCCACGCGCTGTCGGGTATTGCAGGGACGAGCTACGCACCATAGCCAGAGTAGCTATCGAAGAAGAAGTGGCCGCGCGCACCTGCAGAGAAGACCACGACGAAGAAGAAGAAGAGAGAGAGAGAGAGAGAGAGAGAGAGAGAGAGAGAGAGAGAGAGAGAGAGAGAGAGAGAGAGAGA